GGGGGGCAGTGTTGCATCAGCGAGTCACATGACCACCGTGACGCCACGTTTCTAGAACTATCCTGTAATTTGGCGAATGCTCTAGTAATTGCTGGATGTAGGGTGGGCTGGTGTATAAAAGAGGGGAATGTAATGTGTGATAGTCAGTGAGTAATTGATCTGCAGTCAGAAGTATTATTGACGTTCGTTGATATAGCGTTTGTTTAGCGCGATTGTTGAAGTTGAGTGTATCGATAAAGTTGTATTCGGAAATAATAAACCAGTTTTTATTAAGAAAAAACTTGTGTCGCTTAAGTTTCGTCGGAACGAAGTTACGGAAAATCAATTAACAAACGGAGACGTAACAATATCATTAACCAAAACTATTATGTCCTGTGAAAAGCTGAAAAACTTGAACTTTCGCTAATCCAGATTACAAACAATCGAAAAGGTGGAGTTTATTTAATAATAACACGTCATGGCGATTTAGATGCTGAGATTTTGTTTCAATAATCTACTTTTTAAAGCTCATCTTTGTTTACAACATAACAGAATACAAAAAACAGTAAAATCGAAGATAGCCGAAATTTTGAGAAGAGATTATGAAATAACTATTTGGAGTTTTGACGAAAGGATATCCATTTTGAAAGTCTTACATCAATGGCATCATTGTATTGAAATATAAGGAAAAACTATTTTTTTAAAAATTTGAGAAAAAACATGGGCTATAGCCTTGGCCTTTTGACGAAAATATGAATTTTTTTGGAAAATAGAAATAAGTGCTTTTATGAGGCAAAATTAATATACAAATATCGGATGGTGCTATTATCGTCGGAAAACTCATAACTGAGACACTATATCATTAACCAAAACTATTATGTCATTTTAAAAGCTAAAAAACTTGAACTTTCGCTAACCCAGATTAAATACAATCGAAAAGGTGGAGTTTATTTAAAAAGAAGACGTCATGGCTTTTTAGACGATGAGATTTTGTGTGAATAATCTACTTTTTAAAGCTCATCTTTCTTTGCAACATAACAGAATACAAAAAACAGTAAAATCGAAGATACCCCAAATTTTGATAAGAGATTATGAATCAACTATTGGGAATTTTGATGAAAGGATATCCATTTTGAAAGTCTTACATGAATGGCATCATTGTATTCAAATATAAGGAAAACTATTTTTTTCAAAAATATTTTTTCCGTGAAAATATGAATTTTTTTGGAAAATAAAATAAGTGGTTTTATGACGCAAATTTAATAGACAAATATCGTATGGTGCTAATATAGTCGGAAAACTCATAATTGAGACATTATTGCATTAACCAAAACTATTATGTCATGTTAAAAGCTAAAAAAATTAAACTTTCGCTAACCAAGATTAAATACAATCGAAAAGGTGGAGTATATTTAAAAAGAAGACGTCATGGCCTTTTAGACGATGAGATTTTGTGTGAATAATCGACTTTTTTAAAGC